ATTAAACTGTCAAATGCGACATTTCACACTGAAATAGATTTCCTTAGCACGTTATCAAATCCCTTTCTGTGCAGAAGAAGCGTGATTAAATTGATGTAAAATTCACCCACGTAGATAGGTCTATCAATCAACATGCTGATTATTTGACTACTCTTGCGTCAAAAGTCAATAATAACGAGCTTAGATTGAGATTAGGCTTGAGCCTAGTTCATGGATTAAATTCAAACCATCAAAAGGCATACCAGATTTAGTTCTTAGTCTCAATCTAATTCAAAGATTAAGAGTCAATGCACGTGGAAGCGTAATTATCAGGATAACCATTAATCTAAAATAGTGTTCATCCCCAATTGTAGTTATCCTCTCCGATAAATTAGTACTTTGACTTTTACGTAACCGCCTCAATTAGAGCTCTGTAACTATAAATTGTAAACGTCCCCATACATAGAGGCAACTACTTCTCACACACCTCACCTTGAGCATATTATTATTCTCTCTATCTCTCTTACTATCTTATATACTCTCATTAATAGAGTTCTCCAGTAACTGTTGTCACCTTCAGTGGTTAGGTTATCGGACTCAACCATTCAATCTTTCTATTTTATTATTAATTGTTTCATTATTTATTATATATTATACACTCGACTGATTTAATTGTACATTAATCCACTTTCGTACATCATCAAAAAAGTCTGAAGACGATGAAGCTGTCATTAAAATCGGCAAGTGACAAACTTTCATGGAAATAGGAGATAATCATTAAAAAAGGAAATGGGAGATATGTTTTGCTTTAGAACTTTGAATGAGAAAACACACACTTCCACACAAAAGCAGGGAAAAAAAAAGGGGGGATAAATTACATGCATCTCCCTTAAGATTTTATCAAATAACAACTAGACCCCTTTTTAAATGAAAAATAACACTAAGAAAAAAAAAACCTCCTAAAACAACAACGGTATATATGCCAAAGCAATTACGATTTATCCCAGTTGAGGCCAACTTTTTTTAACTGAACAAGAAAAAGATTAAACAAGATTAGTCGGTAAATATGCCACTAACTAGTGCACCCAAGAAATTAATAATGACACGCATGCGCATATTAGTACTTTAACTTAGTAAAAAAAATCCTCTAATTTATGGCTGGAGTTGACATTCCTTTGCATTTTCCTATGATTAGACATGTAAAGCCGAAAGCATTATAGGGTCATTACATAAAAATATTCCCTAATTAATCTTTTTAATAAACAGATCGTACTAAGTATTTAATAATCAAGCAATATAATGATTATGAAATTCGTGGGGTCATGAGGAAAGAAGAAAGCAAAGTAACTCAATTTGGAAGTACTTAAATAAAGTTTAAGCACTTACCCACAAATAATTATAAATTGCTATTGTAGAAAAGCAGGTGTGAGACATACTTTCCATAAATAAAAAAATCTGAGGGCAAATTGAACTTTATATCCTTAGATTGTAATTCTTATCTCATTTAACCCGACCCATCTAGTATTGAGTTTTTTACAATGTGCTTATAACTCATTGAATTGATTCTTCCCTTGTGTCCAGAATGAGAAATGTTTGCCGGGTTTTTTTATTTTAGAGTAAAGTGAAATAAAATCACATAGTTCAGCGTGATGATATAATTTTTCATCCAACAGATAACGAACATCTATAATTGTGGGTCATGTTGACTAATAATCATATAGTTGGAAAAAGAATGTAAAAAACGCGACTTTTCATTGATAGTTCGAGACATAGGACAAAGTTAAAAGGAATCGAAATCTAATTTGTCTAAAATCTAAAAATGAAAGATGGAAGATGGAGATGAAAATTGGAGAAACTTTCCAAATAATTAGGTAACATGTTTTGTGTTATTTAAAAAGAAACTCTCTTTGTCAAATTATTTTTTTTTTATGCTGTTTACTTTTTGAAGTAGTTTCATACAGGGATGCAGAAGGAACATTTCATATTGGGCTAAGTTGAAAATCTTGGCAGTTATTAATCATGTGTTTGACTTGTAGAATATAAATAACAATATGGTTAGTCCACAAAGACCAAAGACATCATCTTCTTCAACCTTAGTAATATATGTTTCGGGATGTCTGTCTTGTATTTCATTCGTATTGAACACCAGATTCAACATAATATCTTTACGATTTGAATTAGATAACGATGTAACATGCTTCGGTGTAAAATATAACAATTGTAAATACTGTACCTAACTTAATGTTTGCCCCATTAAGTGTGGTGCTTGCGAAACAAAGCATTCGCATATAATTTACTCTCAACTAAAACCTCTTCATATACCCATCTTATAATCTTCTTCAAACTTCTCATTTATCATCTTTCTAATCTTCCGTTGATAAAAATAGGAAAGAGAGAGAAAGAAAGAGCACATGACAATCGAAACTCCAATTATTTTATAGTTCAAGAGGCTTTGAGAAAGCATAAATTGGGGAGGTTGATGAGGTGATTAATTCATATATTGGTCTCACATCATTTAATTAAATAATGTCATTGACCTACATATGTTCGGGGAAGGTGGGGGAGGGAGAAGCAAAACTACTTTGTTGGTTCAATCAGGAAATAATCGCTCATGCTTCGCAGGGTTGACTGTTGATAATTTCAAATTCAAACGACCCGTTGCTACCCGATCAACTAAGTTAATGTGATTAGTGATAAGGTACAATCAGAAAGAGTCGATTAAGTATTCCTTATGATCAGGATGCCTTTGCTCATGTGAGCATTATCTATATGGAAACCTAGCCTCCAATTAAGTAAGTTCAAATTAGAGCTTTTTAGTGTCTTTTTAAACAACACATTGGCACTTTACATTCAATCGAGTATCATTGTGCACTAAGTGGTGCATCTATCTGACAAAGATATGTCACATAAAAAAAACAAAAAGTTTTGTCTACGACAGTTTTATTATTTTAAAGTTTGGCGAATATCAGATGTATGTAATTTTATATTTTGGGTAGAAAAATGCTATTTTCCTAATATGACTCCGTGACTCTCGGTTTACAATGAAAAAACCTTATCGTTGCATGAAGACCGATGCTCCTAGTTGCTATGACAGAAAACAGATTAAGAATCAATCCTTCTACGCCCTCCTCCATGGTGCAACTATATATATACACATGTGTATATGTATATGTGTATGTATGTATAAATGTATGTGTGACAGACACAAAATCAGAGTGGGTATCATTAAGTCGAAGAGCTTACTCCAATGGAGTTTAATTATGTTTTAATCGATTAAAGCTCAAAGCTTGATTGGACAAGAATAGGGGCATTACTTTCCGATTCTGCCATTCAAAGGGAATGGACGTAAACTCATATTATCACTAGCTAAAGATACTTGCATACGGGTTACTCGTGTGAATATCCATTATTAAAAGAGTGAGATACGAAGGGAGAGCGACGTAGATATATGAGTTCAGAAGAAACCTAGAAAAAGTTAGATAGTTGAGTGGGGCTAAATAAAGAGTTATGAGTGATTATTTGAAAAGAAGTTAAATGAAGGATAATAGTAACATTTTATGAGTAGAAACTGACGAGCCAGATTTAATTTGGTCAGGCCGAATAAATTAAGTAAGTTCAAATCAACTAAAAGGTAGGTCAAGCTCAGTTCGTAAATTCGACCTAACCTAAGGTTCAAGGAAATCAAGAATAATTAGAGCACGTGGAAAGTAAACTCTCTCTACATGAGAGAGTACCTCTTGATCTATCTCTACATCTCTCTACACACATTACACATAGTTTTTCTCTCTCCTATCTATTGTATCCCTCCTGGAGTTAAACATTGTTCTCTCCCTCTTGTTCGCCTTATTTTATCAATAAAGGTCCCCCAGCCACCATTGTCGTTTTTTGGAATGGAGTAGGTCACTTAAACCGAATCACGCCCGAGAAAAAGATGCAAGAATACCTATCAGTGGTCTAAGTATTGTTAAAAAGGTTTACTTACTTCCAATCTACCATGTGCCCTGAGAAGAGAATGCCATGACAGGCACCCTCGCTAAATTCGCGTCTGTCAATATACTTATGGGTCGGGCATCGACAGGCCCTGGTTGAATTGCGCTGAAGGCATCAGACTTCGCTCTTTTAGAAGAAGGAGGGGAAGACACCACCTTGGAAGTATATAGAGCCTCTACCATCGCCTTATCAATAAAAGTACCTACAAACTTGGTGTGAAACAAAAAGCTTACAACGCCAAAACTACCAAGAGTCTATAGGAAGGATCAGATACTTTTTCTCTTTGGCTTATGAGAAACCTTGGGACGACCTGATGCGGACATAATCTCTGAGAATTCCATGAAAGGATGCTCACAAATTATTCGGAGCCTTCTCTCTTGCTCCGCAAATTATGTGGGTGAAACTACATATAAATCAATCACACAGTGAGAATAGATATGTGACGACTAGAAGTTAAAACAAATGTGGAATTCTTACCTAGCTTGGTCCTCGGGACAGTGTCCCACCGTGAAGGCACAAGGTCACGGTTACCCTCGGTGGCCCATTCACCTCCAATAAAGAAGAACTTAGATTTTCAACTATGACAGTTCAAAGGAAGCTCAGTGATGAACTTCTCTAACCTTAGGGCGAAACCACACCACCCTTGATGAGGAAAAGGATTGTCCAAAATCACGTATGTGACCAAAAACTCCTCAAATGAGGGAGGAACATCAACACTGTGAACTAGTTGCCACAACCAAAAAAAACCCGAGGATCACTCTCCACTCGTTGGGAGCCAGTGACAGGTGCCCAAGAATCTGACAGATGGGTATAGTTATTGAGAACCTCAAACCCACCTCTAAGGCATCCTCATAGAGAACAATCTCACCCGAAGAGTCACAACATGTTGGCACGTCCTCCTCCGCTCGATGACACATGACAGTAAGAGGGATAAGGTGTGAAGACACCATGCGGGCGACGTCGTCATCACTGTTAATCGAGCTAAAAATAGAGGTTACCTTCGAATTGTCACCTTCAGTGATCCCTTTGCCTTACCGTGAAGCTTGCCTAACATCCACTGTATCACCCCTACTAGCTCGGGCACCTGGCACAACAATAAAAGACAATGAAGACGAACGGGCGTCAAGATTAATAACAAAGTTAGCAAGGTAAAGTTACACAGTCAGGAGGCAGTACCTCGATCCACTCCACAACTTGGTCCATCTACCTCTCTGAGCGGGGTCTCAATGCCCAAGTCTGTCTCCCTTATGCATGTGTCCACTCTCCCAACGCCCGGTCTACTGCAAAGGGATCCACCCAGTCTTAGGCTCCCATCAAAGTCGCCACTGTCGCCCAGACCCTAGACATGGTTGTCTGACCCGTGCCTATAGCCTACGCCACTGTCTACCACGCTCTCGCCTAATATCTCCATGGCCTCGACCAATGCGCCTGGGCAGCCACCGGTGCTGCCAAAGCCAAAATCAAGTCAATACTAAGAAAATATCGACATTGAGGGAATAAGTATGGGTGTCAGATAACATAACTCCTAAGCTTTGTTCGTCCGAGTCACTTCCTGGCAATTTCCCTGCATTGCCCAAGCTCCCAAAGACGCCACTGAACTTACTCGCACGCTTCCCGATGTTGCCCAACGTGTCTGAGTCTCCACCAACGTCGACCATCGCGCCTAAGCCTCCACCGGCATCACCCATCGCGCCCGAGCCTCCACCGGCGTCACCCTGCCAGCAGCACCGCCTAGCCTGCGCTCACCCGCCTCCCTACCAGTCTCGCCCACTCCATTAACGTCGCCAGTTGGCTGCCACTCGCCATGGGCGTCGTCTTCCCTATTGTTAATGGCGCCTCCCTTATGCTGCCCTGCATGACAAGCTGCTAGAACATCCAAGTCAAAGCCTCGTCTGGCACCGCCGTCACCCGCTGAGCTGGGCATCGCCCTGGGCTCCGCCATGGCGCCACCTGATGTGTCATTGTGACTCGTTGTGGCGTTGCCTAGGTTCTTGGGAGCAACATAAGGGTTGCCCTCACCAAGATTGTGGCCACTCGACATCAATCTGGCACCCCCTAGTGCCTGGGCCATAACCCCATCGCCAACGACACTCCCTATTGATCCTCCACCTGAAGTTTTCAATTCACCTTCCTTTTCCTTCATCGAGACTCTATTCTTTGTCTTCTCCCTTGTCTCCATAGTCACCTCTTTCAAAATGGCCCAATTTTTTTGGAATGTGAATTGGAGAAATTGTGGTTTTTAAGCCCTAACTCAAAAGGGGATATGATGGGTTTTCCAAAAAAAATACCCTTTAAAGCTTGAGGGCCAAAACCTAAGTAAAAGAGGAAGACCACGCCTTCAAATTTACCTAGCTATTGGAATATAACTAACAGAACAATGGGTTTGCAACCACAGTGATTATCAAGTCAAGAGAACGAGCTCTCAAGGTGCGAACGAAGTAAGAGATTGAAGAAGCTACCACCGTGCGGGACAAGGAACCTTTTCCAAATAATGAAGCTACCACCGTGCAGAACAAGAAACCCTCATATGTCCAAAGACTCTCATGCCCTCAAACTCTTGCCACCTCAAGGGCTTGGGGCATGGGGTACAAATGATGAGCCTAGATTTAATTGAGTCAGACTCAATAAATCAAGTAAGTCCAAATCAGTTAAAAGACAGGTTAAACCCAATTCATAAATTCGACTCAGTCCAATGTCCAAAGAATCCATGAATAATTAGAGTACGTGTGGAGCGATTATCAAGATATTCACTCTCGAAGATCAGGACAACCTCTTATGGCACTTATCTTTTGTAGCTATCCGAAAAATTAGTACATTTGCCCTCACGTCAACACCTTAACCAATGTTATATTCCTATAAATTTTAAGCTCTCTCTACATGAAAAGACACATCTTGATCTATCTCTATATTTTTCTACACACCCTACACATAGTTTTTCTCTCTCCTAGCTATTGTATCCCTCTCGAAACTAACCATTGTTCTCTCTCTCTCTCGTTCACTTTACTTTATCAATAAGGTCCCTCGGTTACTGTTATCGTTTCCCGCAGTGGAGTAGGTCACCTAAACTGAATTATTATATATATGTGTGTTGACTCAATATTTACATTATTATCATTGATTGCTCTATTAATTGTCCGTTAATTATATTTTATCACACACTCAACTGTTAATATTGCAAAAGCATGTTTTGTGCATCATCAGAAACGGTTAAGTGAAGTAATCACAAAAAAGGAGTTATCGATAGTTATTTAAAAAGAATTAAAAAATAGTACAAATACGCCAGGCGTGGAGACCAAATTCCACAACCTCCTTTTGTAGTGTAATAGAATATGTACCACTATCGATATGTAGATGTCAAATTTAAAGAGTAGAAAGTAGGGTGAATTACAATTTGGCTCCTCCAGCTTCCTGTGGTTTCAAATGTTGTAATATGTTCCCTCCAAGTTTTAAGTGGACTAAATTGATTGACGTCGGTGATTGAAACACGAAAATGTTATTATACCCTTCATCATGTTTATTATTTCTCCTATTTTTCTTGAGATACCAATTTTGTCCATAAAAAATAAGGAAACAAGAGAGCTAAGAAAAAAATACTTTTATTTAACACAACACCAATGCACTACACAACAACATGTTTGTCTTCACTTTTGCCTCCACCTTCGCCCAACACCAATGAGTGCACACCCACGCTGGCGCACACACATACCCACACTCTTCCTGGGGGGGTGGTTATGTATTTTTAACAAAAGAGAGATCACATAAATTTATGATGTCTAACCTTTATCATTTTTATGATCTAAGATTAATTGTTAAAGTTAATTGTAAAATATTCAAACTTAAAGGGGGTTATTTGTTTGAAATTAAAACTTGAAGGTGGGAATGACAAACTACACCAAATTGAAGGAGCATTTTGCTATGAACCCTAGAAAGTATTAATCCCTCCAAGTAATAAATCGTGTATTTGAGTGTTACAGTCTAACCCGAAGTATGAAAAAAATTAATCTATCCATCCATACATTTAGACCAAGAATTAGACTCTCAAAAAAGTTTGTTATAGGGGGTGATGTTGTAGCACTATTCTCCACTTCACAATGAGAAAGAAAACCAAACAAAGGTTAAATATATATATATATATATATATATATATATTTATCGTCCGCACTCAAAGTAGTAGGAGGTTAGCTTCTTTGCCTTAGGGATATCATGGTTTCCACAGGAACTCCAAAATGGTCTCAGTTTACTTGTTCATGACTCTAAATGGAACACAATCCTTTAATGAGTGGATGACGCTAAACCCCATTAAAAAGCTTGGAAATACAAAAATAGGCAGGGCAAAGACTTATTGTGACCAATCAGTGAAGAAAAAGAAGGTTTTTAGCTCCACCCGAAATGGCCAATATTTATTTATATGTGGAGAAATGTTGGTGAGCCTTTGCATATCTTAAAGAGAAATGTTGGTGTTGGCTGCCGACCATTCGAAATCATTGGGTTATAAAAAAGGTGAAATCTAGATCACATAAAGTGGAAGCAAGAGCGTAATGGTAAGGGTGAAGGTGAGGGTGAGCGTGAGCGTTAAAACAAAAAAATTTCGAAAAAAGTTGAGAGCGGAAGCATCACTTAGAGTGTCAAAAATTTGAGAAAAAAGATTATTTATTCTAATATACTAGGCGCTTCAACATTAGCGCCTAGTATATTAGAATCGTTTAAAATTTTGCTTGGATTTATGCCTATATCTTTAATGAGTCTAAATTTTTTTCAAATTATGGAATTAACCCCAACAATTTCTAGTATGCGAATTGCAAATATGAAATTCATGAATTCAATTTTTTTGGTCGAATCCGCTTTCAATCTGTGGATTTGTGTTTCGACGCCAATTTGTTTAGGTATCTTGGCAAATCATGTGATTTGTTTAGGTATCTTAGCAAATATGTTAGAAACTTTTGTCTAAATATAGATTGGGCTTTGACACCGATTTGATTTAAATTCAAACTACAATTGGGTTGGAGTGCAGAATTTTAGGGACTAACAAAAGTCCCTCTCGAATGCACTAATTCGAGTTAGACCCAATTTCTACTCAGATTTATGTAATTTGAGTTTAACTCCAATGGTACTAGAATTTTATCTCAGTACTTAAACCAAATTCGAAATATAACCCCAATTGCTTATAATCTATTCTTTGCCTTTTGTCTATACTAGCAATGCACGTAACTAAATTTAAATAATATTATGCTTATAGAAAACGATAATGATATGTGTAATTAAATTAAATAATAAATTATGTATCAAATAATTAATTAGTATTTTAATTATTGATTTATTCTATAAGTTTCTAAGTACTTAATTTGTCATTTATTTAGATATCTCTCCGACCCTTTTAGGCATTTACACATCTAATTATATTATAGAATTATTAATATTTATTTTGTTAAATAAATTGATTATATCGCTTATAATATTATTATATTATTACATACAAAAGAATAAAATATAACATATATTTAACTATAAAGTTTAACCTGATAATTACATTTGTATAATAATTTAACATATATAGGACTTTAATTCTTCATATAAATATAGAAGATTGTATGTAACTATACTACTAATAAATGAGTTCAAACTAATGTAGAAATTCTTATAAAACAGTCTAAAATAAGTTAAAAGTTAAATAGGTGTAAAAAAAATAAAAATTAGATGAAAGTATATAGGTGGGTATAATTGATTTTATTATACTAATTTGAGATAAAATAAGAAACTAAATTTGTTTTACATATATTGACATTTATAAATAGTATAGATATAGATTTAACCTTGTAACTACATGTGTATAATAATTTAACACATATACAATTTTACATTTTCATATAGATATAGAAGATCGTATGTATTTGTAGTACTAATAAATGAATTCAAAAGAATTTAAAAATCCTTATAAAAAAGTCTAAACCAAGTTAAAAGTCAGATAGGTGTAAAAAATAAAAATTAAATGAAAATATATGTGTGGGTATAATTGACTTTATTATAATAATTAGGGATAAAATAGAAAATCAAAATTTTTTCACATGTATTAATATTTATAAGTAGTATAGATAGATATAGATATATTTTAACAAATGATGGCATATTAAACAACATGCGTCTTTATACATAGGAAAGAGTAGTCAGGGACTCAGGATCAGACCCGTATGCCCATGAACATAATCTGACCAAGCCCATGGGCTATTTCTAGGCCTAAGACATAGATTTGGGCCCAATGTGTCGGTCCAAACCCTTGATTTTTTTTTGGTTTGGTATGATTGGGCTTCACGGCCTAATACCCTGAAACTTTGGTTTTTTTTATTGGTACTTTCGGAAGGCATATACAAAATTTAACTTAATTATCAAAAAATATATAGGAAAAAATATTTTGTAAAAAAATCCACTTAAAACATAGAAAAACTCGAATACTGTTTTATTGTAGATTTTTTTTTAAAAAAAAAATAGAAAAAAACCCCACATTTATATATATATTAGTTATTGCTCGTTATATATAAAAAAAATATTGAATTACAATAAATACAAAAGAGAGACAAGTTGACTAAAAGTTGATTGTCAATTAACTTGCAATTGTCATTAAAATAAATCTAAAAACACTTTGTCCATCATATACCGAGACCATAACAATGAATAAGAGATAATGAATAAATTGAACAAAGAGAAGACTAAAGTAGTGTTTGGAATGGCTTATTGAATTCAAAAATACTTTTTAAATAATTACTTTTTAAAAAACACTTTATTAAAAAATACTTTCTTCCATAAGTATCGTTTGGATGTTCATTAAAAAAAGTACTTAAATAAAAATGATTTTACAAAAATTGTGTTTGGATGGTCAATTAAAAAAGCATTTATTTGTATAACAATTACAAATATACCCTTCATAATCAAATATATATATGTGTGTGTTTGCATTTATTTTGTTAAAAACGTCAATGATTATCCCATGATATAATTTTTAGTGATAATTTATCAAATATTTACATAAATTCACAAAAATGAAATGGTAACCATAGGATACCAGTGATTTAAAGACATGATGAACCCAAGTGTAAGCTTGAAGTTCACTACTATGGATTTCTTCATCACTCATGTGTAAGTTTCTACTCTTTAATGCAAATATATTTTTTTTCAAACAAATCCACA